ACTGAAAAGCAGGTTCTAGGTCGATTCAAAGCACCATTCCTTTTCCAATAGCTTCCTCAAGGTTCCCAGAAGCGATTCCAATCCCTAACATCAATTCAAACGCAAAGAATTGGTAAAACGAATTCAAACTGTACTAAGAAAAATCCATGATCGTATTTTGATTTCTAGGCATCCTCATTGCATTTTAATTGTATATTCATGTTCCTTGTGAAGTTTTGAAACTAACCATGTGGTCCAATTGCGTTTTTGTGCTGTATATTCGATTTTACCATTGCTGATCTTTAGGGTTTTCAGAGTTTCAATTTAGGGCTTTTCACCCAAGGCAAAATTATGACTCCAGACCAAGACCATTAAACTCAGCTCACCTGGACGAAGAGACCCCAACTCTCGCGATGAATTTATACTCAAGGATAGCCTATTCGCTATTTTCCCATAACTCATCTAAAACCACGCATGAAAAACCGTGGCCTTTGTTTTGTGTTTTCAGGAAAATTGAAGAAGACGACCTCGTGTCCAACAGCCAGTGGTTCCTTTGAATTACGCGCGTTTTTCGAAGCACTAACTTTCGTTTGTTTTATTACGTTCATTATTTATTAAATATACAAAAAGGTTCAGTAGCTCAGTTGGCAGGCGTTGATGTGGTTGACTTCCAAGACCTGGGTTCGAGTCCCAGGTCTTGCATATTTCAATATTATTTTTCTACATGTCATCCCATGCAGATTCAGCGCTAGCGACCACCATGCGTCTCTCCAATCCAACTTGCCACGTCCACTTAGAGATCAATCTAAAGGCTGAGATTGAAGGGACATCCTAAACCCCAGTCAACGTGCCATATTGCATCTGGAAAAAGTCAATGGATCAAAGCTTGCTGGGCCAGAATTTCACAATAAAACCTCCACTTTGGGGACTTCCACCCCCCCTGGTTTGCCATTTTTTATTATTTTTATATTTTATTTTCAATTATTGTTTTATTCATTTTTCTGCTTTGATTTAATTAAATATTTTTTACAAAATATAAAAAAATGCCAAAAAATCAGAAAAGATAAAATATAGTAAATAATTTTTATTTTCTAATATTTTCATGAATAAATTAATATGTAAGTATTTAGTTTAATTAGGTTGTGATTTTAATTTCTTTTAATAATAAAAATACAAAAAAATATATCTAGGTTTAATTGATAATTTTTATTTCCTTTTAATTCTTCATAATAATAATATTACTTATTTTATTTTCATAATTAAATTGTACATAAAAGAATTTAGGTTTAATTTAGGTTATATTTTAATATTTTCATAACAAACTTAAAAAAACATTAGAATTAGGGTTAGTTAATTTTAATTAATTCTTTTTCTCATTAAATTCCTAAAAACATGAAAAATATTCAAAAAAAACAATTTCTTGCTTTCCTTTTAATTAATTAATTTGTCGTTAATTTAATTTTCGCAAAAGGGTCCAACGCCCATATTTTTAATTGTTCAATTTCGCGCATTTATTTTATATCGCTTAAATAATTATGTATCTCTCCCAAAGCGTTGTAACATTTACTTTTCGCACTTTTATTTGCTTTATGTATTTTCTGTCAAATCGGGTCCGGTTTAATTTTGGCGATGTGGACCCGCGCCGTTGTAATAGCTTTAGATTTAATTTCCGCATCTTTTAAACTGTTAACAAAAAGCATGAAAGAATGTATGACTAAAATAAAATCAAGCGTAGATCACCAATAAACATGACAAGACAAATGCAAATGAAAATGACACACGATTCGCACACACCACCCCTAGGGTACGCCTCACTGTTGCCTTGCCTCGAAAGGTGATCGTCGAGTAGAGGACGTCTTAGTAAGTCCTCATGATCCGGGAACCTGGCATGAGGGTAGCTTCTAAGGTGTCTTCCCATTGCTCTGGTGATCACCATGTCCCTACAAACTCGAATTGACCCGAACACCTCCAACGGTGGTGCTACCTACCTCTCAATGGTGGGATGGCACTACTTTAAAGGACATCTACACAGACGAATTCCTTAGGGTAGGTAGGTTCTCAAGGATACTTGCTCTAATTTCAAACAAAACAAAAATCTTTTCACACCGACACTTTTCAAAAGCTTTCAAAGCAATTTTTCAAACACTCTGACACAAGAGTCGAACTGAAATTTTCAAAGAAACTTTTTAAAACCCACACTTGAAAAGCAAACAAACAATTTTGAAAACACAATGAGCAAGTATCTAAGAGCCCATGGATAACCATGGATAGAAAGGGTGCTAACACCTTCCCTTTCTATAACCTACCTCCCGAACCGAGAGCAATCTCTATAAGGAATTTTTCTGTGCTTTTGTCCTTTCCATTTGGAGAAAATAAAAGACGGTGGCGACTCTTGCTTCCGCGACATTTCGCGAACCAGCGTTAAACAAGTCAGTTCCAGATCCACCGATCACAGCTAGGTTCTTCCCTCAAATCACCGTCGAACTTGAGATCGCCTCTTGGCTAGGTTCTTCCTTCAAATCATCGTCGAACCTAAGATCGCCTCTTGGCTAGGTTCTTCCCTCAAATCATTGTCGAACCTGAGATAGCCTCTTGGCTAGGTTCTTCCTTCAAATCATCGTCGAACCTGAGATTGCCTCTTGGCTAGGTTCTTCCCTCAAATCATCGTCGAACCTGAGATCGCCTCTTGGCTAGGTTCTTCCTTCAAATCATCGCCGAACCTGAGATCGCCTCTTGGCTAGGTTCTTCCCTCAAATCATCGTCGAACCTGAGATCGCCTCTTGGCTAGGTTCTTCCTTCAAATTATCGTCGAACATGAGATCGCCTCTTGGCTAGGTTCTTCCCTCAAATCATCGTCGAACCTGAGATCGCCTCTTGGCTAGGTTCTTCCTTCAAATCATCGTCGAACCTGAGATCGCCTCTTGGCTAGGTTCTTCCTTCAAATCATCGTCGAACCTGAGATCGCCTCTTGGCTAGGTTCTTCCTTCAAATCATCGTCGAACCTGAGATCGCCTCTTGGCTAGGTTCTTCCTACAAATCATCGTCGAACCTGAGATCACCTCTTGGCTAGGTTCTTCCTTCAAATCATCGTCGAACCTGAGATCGCCTCTTGGCTAGGTTCTTCCTTCAAATCATCGTCGAACCTGAGATCGCCCTTTGGCTAGGTTCTCTATCAAATCACTCTCATGTGTCACCTTAGGATCGTAGGTCGCCCATAGACCCCGTCCGCTGTCTTTTCATACCAACCGTTTGTCTTGTATTGGCATCAAGCCATGTTACAAGTCCAGTCTCTGTCTCTTCATTGAAAAAACAAATTTCTTGTCCCCAGCAGATATCACAAAAATAAATAAAGAAAACACTTACTCTTCTTCCCAGGACAAATTTTTCGGCATTGATATTTAATCATCTTCAACCTTGAACTTCCGAAAGGCATGTGCCAATCGTACTTTCAGGTTTAAGACAATTAAATAGGGGCAGCTGTAATACCCCAAATTTGTCCTACCCTTTTACTTCCTATCTGGCTAACGCATTTTTGCATTTTTCTCACATATATAATTTCCATTAGGTCATCTAACACATCATGCATCATTAACCAATAAATTGGCATAAGATCATGGATTTCTAGGAATAAGGGTTGGTGTATGGCTTTAAGGCTCCCATCTTCGCACAAGCTTGTTTCGGTTGATTTCTCCATTAATAATTGGTTTGAAGTTAGGGTTTTGCTTTATGGACTTCTTTATCATTAAACTACAGGGGTATTCTTTCTTCTCGACATCAAGTTGCGATCTTTCTTCAAGGATTAAGAATTAGGATTTTTTTGTCCATTATGCTTCAACTGGGGGTCATTAGATTAAGGCTCGATCTTGTGGTTATCTTGAGCCTCTCTTTCTCTAACACTGTGGACTTCTTTTAGTGATACAATTTTTGGTTCTCATCAAATACTTGTCGATTCAATTGTGAGTCATCCCAAGGCTATCTCGAAAGGCTGCAAGCTTGAGTAGTGAGGAACATTGTCTTATACTTATCACCTCCACATGAATGATGATTTATTTCCATAATCATATAGACTTCAAGAGGGGTTCCATGTGTATTTGTTCTTTTCAAAGGGGTTCTATAATTACTTAAAGTGCAAATGGTTGAAGATTTTGATATATCCATGGCCATTAAGATCTTGTTCAAGGATGCTTCAATATGTCATACAAAAAGGTCATCATATAAGAAAATCGTATCTTTTACAAGTTAGTATTTCAAATGGTCCTTTCTTCATCAAAGGAGGTTTAGATATTCCTTGTATGTTCACGAGCTCTAGGCAAGAGAAGAAGATTCAATGGGATACTATTTGCAAATTGGAAGTTTGTACACTTTATGATGCAAAGCTTTTCGTCGAGTCTATTCGCTTACTTGTGATATAATATGCTTTGGGGGACTTCATTTCAGAATACATCAAGATCAAAAACTAAAGCTTCTTCAATTATAGTTTTGAAGTGAGGATTAAGAAAGATGCAAGGCTCGTTCGTTCGTTTGAAGGTGTTTAGGCATGTTTTCATTCAAAAGCAAAGAAACTCGACACTACAAGTTTGTTCTTGGAAGAGGCTCTTATTAAATTCATATAACAACCATGGAGTTATATGTAACACAAAATTAAAAGGTCTTGGAGGTACAAAGTACAATTTGGAAGAAAAGACTACTTGGAATATTTGGGCTCCATCATTAAAATTCAAGGGTTCACATTCATTCAATGATATGATCTTTACAAGTTCTAAGCATTACTCATAATTTGTCAAAGGGTTATCCAAATTCATTCTCGTTCATTCGAGGTCATAACCATGCAATTTACAAGCGGTGTCATTAGAACATTACAAGAGAAGATTTCAAAAGGCCGTTTACATCCAAGATTACTAAATACACATCAGAATTCACATTAAAATACTCATAGTCTACATATACTAAAACCTAAGGCTCTAAGCTTTACATTTTTCTAATCTTCGTAACCATTCGCGTGTTCTTCATAATCAATCTTCATGCCTCATCCAGATTCGCGACTAACCACCTCAGCATTACTCCAGCCAGTTCATTCCTGCCATAACCAATCCATAACCTGTAACAGAAAACCAAGAAAACTTCAAACAGAAAATCAAAAACCAACTAACTGTCAAACACATTCCCCAACCATTTCTAACTACCTAACTTACCCCTATAAAACAGAAATTAGATTCACAACAAAAGGGATTGATAACAATAGGGAGAAAATAAAAACTCACCAAGGATCTGAGGACTCTCGCAGTATTTCTCTACCATCTCCTTTGCATCAAGATCTTCATCATCATCGAACAATCCTCCATTGAAGCTCTTTCAATCTTCACGACTCCATGATTTCTCAACATTGTTTCTTTATGCGTCTTCATCTGTAATTATTGACTTTTTCGCAGTTCTTTAATAATAACTTCAACGAATCTTCATTGCCATCAAGAATCCGCAACTGCAAATCGATTCAACGATTATCATTGTTTTTCTTTCGATCGATATCTCTGCAAAGAAACGCAACCATCACCACGCGTATCAACTCTTCACTTCTTAACGAAACGCTTAGTTTTGCACAACAACAGCGAGGAACTCACGGAAACAAAATGCAAAGGAGAAGACTAGAACAAGAATATATACCTGAACTACTCTGGTAGGCTGGTATCGATCGCCACCATTATTCATCTTTTCACCCTTTTCAAGATGCCGCGGCGAAAAGGGAGTGATGTGGTTCGAAATCTCCAGTGTCTCGTAACCCAGAAATCCATCATCACCGTCTGATTTGTCTTTTGGGGTTTACAGATCTGTTCGAATTTTCTAGACGTGGGTTGATTTGTTTCAGATTGATGAAAAAAGAGGGTAGTTTCGAAGCCATGGTTGAGTTTCAGTGTTTGAGGCCATGACGAGGAGAATAAGGCAAGGGAAGATGAGGTAGAGGACGATCGGAGCGAGACGAAGGCGGTGGCGTCGTGGTGCTAGACGGAAGAGAGGGCGCCGCCGTTCAAGCTTCGCGAGGGAGATGAAGAGGCGGATTTTCTCTTGACCCTAACTCTCAAATGCTTACATTTTTTTTATTTACTTATTTTCTTACGTTTTAATTAAATGCTAAATGATTTTTAAAATCTGATTAAATGGTTTAATTTTAGTATGGATGTTTATGGTATTGATTGAAGGGATCTTGGGCTTGTTGCTGGACATCTCTTAGCCCACTGATGATTCATTTTTGGTACTACCTGGAGTTGGCAACAAAATAATTATTGATGGATTTCTTGGTTGGGCTTAGGTTCTCTTGGATCCACACATCCATTGTTTGCCGCTTACACCTCGTGTTCATAATCTTTAGATTCTTCTATAATTCTTTTAATCAATTTTTGCTAATAGAATTTGCGAGTTTTAGGAGATAACAAGAATAAAAAAAAATAAAAATGGTAGAATATAATATAATTCTTCTAAAATTTCTTTTAGGAATTTGATTAGAATTTTATACTATTTTCATGTTTAATAATCTTTTTTGTTATCATTTTTAGCCAAGATTTCGTGTTGGTAATGATGCAATCTTTCGCGATTGGGAATATTTGGAGATTAATTTTTTGATCACTCATGCGAAGAAACTTTGGTAGAATTTTCTTACCGCTTGCATAATTTTGAAGAGGCAACGGACCTTCTCCGTTCGGTATTGTCAAAAATCTATTTTATTCTTCATTTCCGTACTTTACCGTAATTCATATGCATGTCAACATTATGTAGAATCCCCTCAAAATTCTAACTTTAGGTCTAACCACGCATGATAAAATTAGGTTTAGAAGTAGGTTAATCCACCTTTAACTTTTCTTCCCCTTTTGCATACGCATCTAAAACAAAGAACTTCTTTTTCTTTTCAAATTTCAAAACACTAAAAAAAACTACTGATGAGAATCATACTTTTGCTTAGTACGGAAAATGATAAGCGGGTCTCTTCTCGATCTTATTGTTCTTCATCTCAAGCCTAGGTGTGGTTCAATTCTCAAAGACTCCTTTCATAGCTAAGTAGAAAAATGGCTAATATCTCTCTCTTGAGGTCGACTAGTCATCATCTACAACAAAAATATAAACCAATTCAAATCTTTTGTGCTCCCGAGCACCTTTCTAAAAAACCTTTTCAGGTAAGGACATGATTAATTTACTTCTGTGCCAACGCATAAGTCTCCAAAGGTCGAGCTGCGGCAGAAGGCGGAATTAACTTCGTCCACAAAAAACATCTACAACAAAATATAAACCAACTCAAATCTTTTGTGCGCTCGAGCACCTTTCATTTAAAAAACCCTTTTCAGGTAAGGACACGATTAATTTACTTCTGTGCCAACGCATAAGTATCCAAAGATCGAGCTGCGGCAGAAGGCGGAATTAACTTCGTCCACGAAAAACACAAACAAACAAAAACATATGAGCCGAACTACGGTAGCTCTGATTCCTCAAAACGGATACGTAGGCATTGGGGTAGGGCCCAAGCGAGCACAATTTTATTTTCCCTACATTCTTTTCTCCTTTATTTTGCATGCATTCCCTTTAGTAGTACAATAAACAATAAGCATAGATTAAACACACCCATAAGATAGACAACAAGAGTGGATACCGTAGAGTACTACGGGCGTGTGGGGTGCTAATACCTTCCCCTCGCGTAACAGACTCCCTTACCCGATCTCTCGGTCGCAAGACCGTGACTTCTCCCTTCTCAGGTTTTCTCGATGTTTACCTTTCCCTACATGTGGGATAAAAGACGTTCGATGGCGACTTCATTGTTTGATGATTTCCAGCCGGTTGTTTCAGATAGAGATGCAACCAACTGAAATGATGTTCCAACACCAATTCAGACATCAAGGACTTAGTCATAACTCTTGCAGGAACCCCAAGAAAATCACACTTTTACTAATTCAAAGACCAGGTCAAGACGCACCAGGAAATATATTCTCATATACTTTATGCATCAACACATCAAACAAATACACAGCTATCATCAGAGTATTTGCCATCAATCAGATGCATACTTTTACCAGAGAAATCCATAAATAGCAGATAATGTTGTCCTCTTCACAATTAGAAGAACACTTTGGTCTGACATCCTTCTTCTTATAAGTGCAGAGTTCAGACTTCTTGTCTGACCTTTAGACAACATCCTTATGCATTAAAAGAGAAGATTCCCTCTAACAAACAAAAAACAAGGTCATGAATGATCATCACGCCACAAACAGACTATTCAAAAAAGTTTGTTTCTTTCAATCCTTCAAGACCCATCACTGGAAAGTTCATCCCAAGAAAATTGGATGACACTCCAAACATGCAACCACCAATTAACCACTTAGGTTGATACATCTCCATAGCACACAACTCATTGGCTGTCTCTTCTACTTTAGCAGAATAAGAGTTTCATGTTCTCATAGGCTTGATGAGTTATATCAAGTTAGAGTAAAGAACCTCCATCCTGTTTGAGAGAAACACCACCCAAACAAATTGAGAAAAGTAAATTCTCAACACAAAGATGTCAAGACATTATATCTGACATTTCTTCAAGGTCTTCCAATTCCAAATTAGAGATACCCCATTAAACAAGATTCCAAAAACAGGGCTCCCTTAATCAGAAGGATTTTCAGAACTTGACCTTCACTCATGAAGAATCTGATGAATTTAACAAAATTCTCTACTAGAGAAAAGAGCTCAATTTCTATACTCCTATATACTTTGGTCAGAAATAAACTGACCCAAGGAGTAAGCAAGGTCTTGACCAGAACACTCATCTAAGTTATGTCTCTAGGGCATAAACTTCTTAAACACACAACCAAGATGCCTCCTCTTTCAAATCAGAAGAAGGTTCCATACATATGTGACCAACACACATTTGTTTAGCACCCAAAGCATTTGTAATGCCATTCCTTTAGCCAATAGAGTTTTGCACAACTTGCTGACATGATGTTCTAACATCTTATAAAAGATCCTTCCAAAGAACATACCACGAGATCCTTTGACAAAGGCTGGAGATTAGCCTTTTAGGGTTAAAAGCAAAAATAAATTGCTTCTAACTTTCTTCAGATCTCTTTTCAACAAATTCACTTAAAAGTGCCTTTACGAGTGGACTTGAGATAATCCTCAAGTATCTTTGGAAACTTAAGGTAATAAGGTAATACATATCCTTGAAATTGCGAATATAATTAGTGAATGTCTTAAAAAGCTTTTCCTGCTGCTTAAGGAAGAAACAATTATGTCTCTTATTTGATGTTTTCCATTGAAGATGAAAGCAGCGGAAAAACAGGGGGATCATGGCGCCGAGCTTGAAGTATCGACGCACGACCTCGAAATATCAAATAAAAGAAAATATGTTCGAGTGCAATTGGAAAGGCGCTAACTCCAGATGAAGAAAAATCCCAACTTGATGGTTGAAGGGCAGTCGAAACCCCAGTTCTTTGAAACAAAACTCGCACATGGAAAAACGCCTCCTCGAGTAGTACGAGCATGTCCTCTCATTCAGTGTAGGTTGGTAAGCTCCCCAATTTGAATCAAACTCTGGTTCACCCACACCTTGTTCAATAATCATGAACGCATCATCTGGGGAGTTGACGAAGTGCGAGGCTATGCTCCGAGGTTTCTCCCCGACCCAAGTCAAGTCGGGATCAATTAATATGTCGGCTAATTAGGCGCCCTTGACACTACGAGCCATAAAACATGAAAAACAGAGGAAAATAGTGAATTCTCCGGTCAAATTAAATCCATCCTTCCACTGCAAATCAAGTGAAAGGGCGTGGGAAAGTCGAGGACGCCATTCCCGGCTAAAACCCCTTTTTTCATGACGATGAGAGCGAAAATAGAAAATATATGAGGTCGACTGAAGGTTAGAATGACCAACTATGGGGACAAGCATCCCCGACCCATGCACCTCATAGGGGATTCGCGAACCTCACAGAGGAAAACCTCCCTGGGACATAAAGTTCGTCAAGAACCCATAAATTCTATCGAGGGCCCATGAAGTCCATCGAGAACTTCATCAAGAACTTTATCAAGCTCACCATATTTTAAAACACTACCGCCAAAACAAATAGCAAAAAGGAAAAATTAAAGAAACATTTACACACTTGACCATATGGAGACAAACAGTGGTTCAACGGTGTAAAAGAACCACAGCGGCGACGGCGGAGAATCTTTGCAAATCAGAAACCCGACGGAGATGAGGAGAGTGAAAGCATTGAGGGAGCGAGTAAACTTTGCAAAATCTCCTCTACTCTCCCAATTTATAGAATTTATCCATACAGGAAAGTGCGACAACACTTGGGGTAGTGTGCCTCTGTTTCAA